GTTGCTGTCCCTGGGTGGGGCAAATCCCCACATAACACATGAGGTTTCAAAGTTACAATCCAGAAGATCACCCCTCCATGTACCTGCAAGAGCGCAGCGCGTCCGTCTGAGCACCAGCGCGGCCGGCCCCACCAGGGGCAGGGGCATGGCGCTGAACACTAACCAGCCCAGGCAGACCTTAAGAGTAAAAGGTACAAAATCAACGGTCTGCTTGACTGTTCAGACATCATTTGGTGACACAGAGAAAAAAATACACAGAAGTAGTGATAAAATCTCAAGTATCTCCATTTTGAAGCGTTTTTGCAAAGGCGGGGCTGGGCTCCTGTATCCCAGATGGGGAGGGAGCTCATTGCACCGCCCAGCAACTCTTGTGCAAAACTCAGCACGATCCGGGTGCCAGCAGGGGAGGACGGAGATGTGGAGGGGCTTGCAGTGGGCTCAGCAGTGGGAACCTGAGGGAAACATGGGAACAAAGCCCGACATTTCTCCTTTTTACTGAAGTGTCAGGCGACGTCACATTGCTTCAGAGACAAATTCCCCATTTCAGCTATGCTCAGCCAAGTAACAAGCCTAAATCATTCTCACATCAGATGCTCTTTAGAAAGTGTTTTGCATATTTTAGTTATGGCAAACACTAGAAAAATCTAGTTCATGTATTTAATTTATATACAGAGATTTGCTGCTCTAGCAATATGGCCACTTTCACACCAAAGAATCTTTTGAAAAATGCAAAATGCGAGACTAGCTCTGACCAGTATTTTGAATCGCTACTAGTCTTTTGCAATTTTGAAAACAAAAACTATCATGTTCAGTAGCCTTGGTAACAACCATGTGAATTTAATTTTAAAACTATCTTTCTATGTATTACAGGCCCTGGTACAAAACCTAAGGGTTCTTTAATCTCTTAGTTTGTTGAGTATCACACTCTCTACAAAGATTTAAGAATAGATTAAAAATAAGGAGCAAGTTCAAGGAACGTATCTTCCCAACACAATTAATTATTCAGAAGTATTTTTTTTACATATGTATTCATCTCTCTCCAAACTTTCAGATGGCAGACACTAAAAAGAAATACAACTTACACTCTTCGCTTCGTATAAAGCTGTTAATCACAAGAGATTAAAATATGTATTGAGCTAAAGAAAAAGGTGTGGGTTTGTATGTACGCATGCACACATGTAAAGAGAGATTCCACATTTTAAATGATGTTATGAATATAAAGTTTGCTGATGAAAATCTTATATATTCAGCTTGCCTTTTCTTTTTTTTTAAATTCACAGCACACCTCCCCTATTTCTATTGGCTAAGCAGCACCCCAACACTTAACCCATGTCAGAGTCTTATTTTCCATAGTTCAAAATCCACTTTCTGTGGTAAATTTCCAACAGGTTAATTTTTTCAGTAATTTTATTATATAGTGGGAAAATTAAATGTATTATAGCACCAGTAATAATGATTGCTTTCAGAACTGCTAAGTTTTGGTGTGGTTTTATTTTTGTTTGTTTAAATAATTAAGGTATGGAAATCAGCCAGCACGGAAACTTTGCAGCTCTTGAGACACTAAGTCTGTGTGGTAATGAGAAAGGTGGTAGTAAATAATAAATAAATAAACAAAATAATAATAATAATAATAATAATAATAATAATAATAATAATAATAATAATAATCTTTAAGTGCTACCAAGGCTTTTCTTAGCTATTGTTTAAGGAAATCAAAAGCAAAATTAAAAGACCAATTGCCTCATAGTCGTTAACTGGGTTTGGCTCAAATTTTCCCTGATTATACTGCCATGCTTTAAAACAATTAACATTTGGCCTTAAATCAGAAGGCTGAATTTAGAACAGGATGGTTTAGTAGAGCTCATCTTCAAATTACATACCAATCCCCAAAAGCTGTTCCACGATGTCTTGTTTCATTTTTAGGAACAGCTTCATCTGTGCTCCCAACATCACATATATTGCTTTTTAGAGCCTTTGCAAAAGTAAGTGCCTAATGTGTACGATTTCTAGCCATAGAAATCAATATACAGAACTAGAAAGATAAATTCATATGCTAAATGAAATTTAGCAGCGTCCTCAACCCCATGTAAGTGTGATTTTTTCCAAGAGATGAAGCGACAGGCCCAAAGGAGACATAATTGCTAATATTTTAAAGCCCGCTAAACAAAAGAAAAACCCTGAGACAGCTGACGCTACAAGCGTGTCAAGAATAATGCCATACTTGATGCAGAAAAGCAAGTTGTTTCCAGAAGAAAAGTTTAAACAAAGCTTTAAAAGGAATGCAATACTATATAAGACCATGTATTCTGTTCTATTTATGTAGCGTAAAATATTAGAGGCTGTAATGCAGAAAAACACTCTGTGCTGTTTACTCTTTTAGCCCTGGCAATAATACAGCATTCAGAGAATTTCAGAGGGAAAACAAGGTAATGCAAGTACTAACAAGAGTTATCACCTGTAAGTCAGCTTAATGTAAAGTCAGTGAAAGATGTATTGGATTATTCTTATCTGCTTTATCACAGTATTGAGAAAAGCAGCAGCAGATCACGATGTCCCTGTGCTACGCGCTGTGCAAGAGACTGGGAAGGTAGTCCCTCTCCCTCTCGATGTTCGATAGCAGATAGGAGCTGGGTGGGCGCCGATGGGAAGCACAAGGAGAATGAGGCAGCGGTGCTGCTGCTGGTCCAGCCTCTCCCAAGCGTTGTCATAAACTTGATAAAGGAATTGGTTGTTTTCAATTCATGTTAGTACATAAACCAGAAGAGTTGATCTCAGCAGGGTCAAGGAAAGAGACTCATATCAGTTCAGAGCTTTCATCCAACTCAAGGAGGATTGATTAGTCACTGTGTATTTAATAATACATTTGAGTTGGAAGCATCTTTACAAAAAAATGTATCCAAAAATATGCAGACAAGATTTCATTAGCCACGCTCAATCACTTCTGAAAGCATAACCCTGGCTCAGCCTTCAACCACGGGACTAGCACTGGTGGCTCCAGAAGAGCCCCACCATCACCCATGATGAGCTGTGGTGGGTTGGGAAGCCCAGGACAGGGCCCACTGCCATTGCTTTTCTGTGAACAAGCTAATGCTGTGAAAGCAAACGTGCCTCTCCATGCCAAAGAGCTGAAGCTAAATAAAATGACTCATCTTTGAGGGGAAAGCAAACAAATGAACAAACAAACAAACAACCCCCAGCAAACATGTTGTCCCACACTTCATTTTCAGAGGCCTTTGTCAAGGTATTTCTCATGTTTCACTCTTGTGAATTCTTCAAACCTCAAAAACAAACCACATTTGCTTTCCGGCCCCTTCATACCAAGCACCGAATGACAAGAAGTTAGCAATCACTCAGCTGCTGAGGAGTTTTATAGGAGATATTGAAGTACATTTCATAAATGAAAATGCAAAAAAAATGGAGGGTAAACCTTGCTTGGAATTTGTCCTTTCCTAAAGCTTTAGAATTCAGATGAGTGTGCCCTGTCTCCACCTCCAACTCCAGTTGTGAACACAGGCAAAGCCTCTTCGGTTTTTTAAACCCCCTTTCCTTGGTCCTTGACACTTCTTACCAGTGCTCCAATGAGAAATTTCTGCACTTGGACAAATGAAATAGGAAAATCCAAGGAAAAGGATTAGAATGTGACCAAGAGATGCTGAGAGGCCAAAAAGAAATTTGAATGGAAGTCCTAAGGTACAAGATAGCGCTAGAAGGGAAGGAGACCTAGAAGGCACTGTAAGGCAGGAAACATACAGAACAAAGAGGGAATAAAACATAAACTTCTACCACTCACATCAGCCTTGGTCACCATTTAATCCCTGTAGCCAAGAACACAAGAGCCAGCACCTGAAAAGAGGGGGATGGCCTATTGAACAGAGTTTGCTAACAGGGTAACAGACTGCAAGAGGCAGGAGACGAGGTTTGCTGCCTGCGAGGTTCCGGTCACGGGCAGATAGCCATTTGTACTCGATTTTAAATCCTAACGCCTGCCTGGGAGATTAAAATTCAGTCTCCTGCGAAGACCAAAAATCTTAAATAAGCAAAAGCAGTTGTTGTTCTCCTCTCAGAGAAAGGTCTGATTAAAAAATATGCAATTCCCTCAAGGCTTGTCAAGTTAGCTCCTTGGTTTGTCGTTAAGAGACACCCATTGCACCACACAGGCTGTCAACAAACTCTGCCGCAAAAGCACAGGGATCATTTACTACTCTATTTCCATTTTATGGGCTACTTTCATTTCGGCCTCACATCAGGATATGGTTTGTAGTGTTACTGCTTGTGCCACTGTCATTGCAGCTGAATCAGCACTTCAGGACAGAGCAAAACAAAGACTCTTTCTACCAGGTTAGGAGGTGCTATCCTTCTGCATCGAGCTGTGTCCTCCCATCCCTCACGGCTATGGATAAATCTAGGCAACGATGAAGTCTGTCCAATTCTTTTCAACACAGATAAAGATTTCCAAGTCTGTAGAGTAAATCTCTGTCAACAGAAAACAACTCAGCCGCCACCTTCCCCTGAAAAACAGCAGGATAGAGCCAGTGGTACCCTCCAAAGCACAGACTGGGAAGGGGAAGCATCAGCAAAACAAGCATTGCCCTCAGCAATGGGAATGAGAGGCTGTACTTCAGAAATAACTTCTTTTTTAACCACCTAAAAGAGTCATACACTTCAGGGCTTCTTTTTGTTATTTGGGGTATATGCATACATGCATTTTAAAGGCAGTTGTATAGAACAGTGAATTGCTAGTGGTTAAGATTTCACATGTACCGTCTAAAAAAAGTGATGCACCTCCACAGCATAAGCTACCAGAAAAAGCAGATAATAAAAAAACCCGCACACCAAACCCACCCAAAGCAAAACAACCCCCTCCATTCAGATTCATGCCAACACACTGAGCCATGAGTTGGCATACGCAGAGTCAGAGTCAAAGAAAGGCTGGGTGAGCACCATTTAGGCATCCTCCACCTTTGGTGTTAGAGTGACTGTCACAAACCCACAGTCTCCGGGCACGTCAATTTTTATTAAAAATTAAGAGATCCAAAGCACGAGCAAAGTATGATGATGCCCAGCATCTTACTTGCTTAGTATCATTGTCCAGGAACCAGCAGACACCGGCAACCATGAGGCCATACCTGAACCACATAGCTGTACATATGCTACGGTAAAATGTCGTATCTAAATGAATATATACAACATGGAAATTAAAAAACCCGACCAAACAAACAAAACTAAACTGAAGCTGAGAACAGAAAAAGAAAACAAGTACATTTAAGGCATGTTACAGAGTCATACACAAGCTGGAAAGTGCCAGAATTTCAAACAGAAATATTGCCCATGTTTTAACAGCAGTAAGAGAAAACAGAAGGGGGACACTTTTCCCTTAACGCTGCATTCTTCTTAAACCAGTGTAAGTATTCTTCTCTATTCAGAAACTTTTTTGCTTCGACAGGGGAGTTTTCTACCCTAAAATATGATTTAAAAAAAAAAAAAAAATCTACCTTTAATACTTTGTTTTCCTTCTGTCTACACAAACTATAGAGCTCAGAAAAGCATTACCAAAATAACAAAAAATTTAACAGGTTTATTAGCTGCTTAACGTTAGGTTGTCTAGTCATTAAAGTGTGATATTTTCCACTGAGCAAAGAAATGTAACAACGAGCTCTTCCTGTTCACGTCTGGCATAGTAGCAGGTTTTCGCCCCCCCCCTTTTTTTTTTCCTTTTTCCATTTTAAGAAGTTGTTCTGAATACAAGGAGACCGCTTACTTGAAACAGAAGTTGGGTGTCTTTGAGGATGGTTGATTCACTGCTAAATGCCTACAAGAGGAGGGAGGGCAGACATACACTAAGGCAGACTTCGTGGTTTCTTCAGGTTATTGACGTTCCAGGACACTGCAACACACCTGCTTGTGCTCACAGGGCTGACATAGAGATTTCTTCTGCAAAATAAGCAGTAAATTTGTGACTCTTCCCTCCAAGGAGTGACCTAGGGGAGCTGGGAGAGAATACTGTCTTGCAGAATACAAAAGTAGGTGTTTACAAAGAGCACCAGGCTTCTCTCTCTTGATGCAAGGCTATAAATTCCAGTAATGAGGGCTGTGAACATTTCTGTACATTTCAAGCATCCAATTCTCATTAACCTGAATTTTTTAAAGTTTCTGAAAATAAAACCTCAATGAAATTTCCACTGAGTTACCAAATGGATCAGTACACAAAATATGTATGATATATGTAAGAAATTATGTGAAGTTACATATCTTAAAATAAAATAGTGTTAGCTGCTCAGGGTTGTTCCCAAAATACAGCACTATTCTGAAGTACATATATTTCAACTTTAAGAGCCTTACAGTGGTGAGAGTTTAAGGCATAGTATGATCAACATTATTTTATTATAGAAATATATTTCTGTAACAGAGTATACACTTATTTCTAAGGTCCTTCATATCTGCATAATATTAACCTTGAAATACAATCTTCTTCCCAATTATAATTAACTACTTTACACATACAAGTCTATGTATTCAAAATTACCTTTAGGAAAAAAAAAAAAAAAAAAAAAGACACTAGACCCTGTAGCTTTAGATGCAAACCACAGTCCTGGCAGTGTGATGACTACAGTACATGGCCTTGCAAAGGTGGAAAGTACCTAAAAGGTTTACAAATGCTATGAAAGCAAGATCTCTTTCAAAACTACATTTCCTTTGATGAAATGAATTCTGATCACAAAAGCACTTGGAAAAAACAAGCGAGCAGTATTTACTTAATGTAACTACGACTCTTACTTGTTACACATTTTTGCCATGAGCCCTTCCTGCTATTAATGCCCTTAAGGGGTTTGAATCTTCTGCCTCTGGAATGCACAGTATGAAACCAATTTGCAACTGATGAGGAAAAAAAAAAAATTACTTCAATTTAATTCTTCCATGTTACATTTCAGTAAAGCCAAAGCCCTATCCCTTGTTCTTTTTAACGCACTCCCCCAAAGGGAGTCCTAGTAAAAGATCCAGGGCAAAATATAGCCCATTTAAAGGAAAAAAAAAAATCTTTGACACTTTGATGTAAACTAAACTATTCACTGCAAAAGCCTGTTTGCCTTCACAGCCCAGGAGGGTCCAGTGGACAGCAGAGCCCAGGTCCACCTCAATTTTACAAGTTCAGTTTATAACTTTGAGCAACTTGAATTCCTACAGCGACAAAAAGACTTCAGAGCACTCAGGTATCTATAGAGCAGCAGCGTCAACTTCCTTGTTAATTCCTATATAAGGCGTTTGTCACTGCATCACAGGGGAATTGTAGCAAAGCTCTTGCTAGAGCATGGGGGAGCCCGGCCATTGCAACAGCGCCCAGCTATCACGTGGTTAACGTTCTGCCACTCTGCACCGAGTTACTCCTGGTTAAGCAATGTCACCCTTCTTCCAGCTAAATAACTTGCTTGCCTTTAATTACACTCTAAGAACCAAAAAGGCACTGGTTTACATCTAAGTGTTGTGCAGTCCACACAGTGTCAGCTTTGAAAATGGCACTGATCTATTTCAGTTCTTAAGGGAAAAAAGGAAACAAAATCTCTAAAAATAAGAAATAATAATAATAAAAAATTTATATATCTGCACCTAGACAGCAGATTTACAAGAAAACTTGTGAAGCAGATTTTATTTCAAAATAAAACAGAAGTCTGATCCTGACAGTTACCAAGCGCTCAGCGCTTCCTACTGGGAAGGGAGAAAGCAAACAATTCTTCAACCTTCACAACATCACTATGAAGAGAATGTAACATATGACAACACAAAAAAGAAATACTGCTGCAACTGGGGTTCAATGCACTCCGTTTACACGGAGCACCGCTAATTTCTTATTACAAAGCTGTAGCAGGTAAGACATCTGGTATCATTCTGGGTATTCTATACAGAAACTTTGGTTTCAGTGGATGCCTCAAGGTACATATGGCCATCAAAACATTTCTGAAGGAAGCAAAGGAAGGGAACAATTTCTATAAAGAGGAAGCTACAAAGGATTTTATTTCCTTCTAAGTATTTGTAATTAAAATTATTAAATTTTAATTACATTATGATGCTTAAAAAGACAACATTATTTCTAGTTTAGTATTCATAGTTACAATGACTGGTGCCTGCCCCAGGTTCCAACGGAGTTCTCTCTAGTTTCAGTAAGACCACTTGAAAAGCAAAGAAACACTAATTCCCTGAATGCAGAGTGAATAAATGCACGGAAGAAATACCAGAGGATGGAGATGCCTCCAAACTGCAGTGACACGTTCTTGCTCTCCTCGCCCCTGACATTGCATACTGGCCTACTTCTGCCCCACTGGAGTTTCAGGAATAACAACGAAGACAAAAACTTGTCCCATTTAGTCTTGTACTGTACTCCCTTGGGAGATTAAAGCACACTGGTTTTGAGACAAAGTTGAGAGCACAGACATACCACCTATCAAAGTGCACTGTCATATAAACAATGAAGTTACAAATATACAGGCCCAAACCAAAAATTTTTATTAGCAAACAAGTAAAGATTCATCATCACTGGTATTGATTTCAGAGAGGGGAGTAGAGGACTCTAACATTGGCACTTCCACAGAATGGCAACAAGCCGCATGAATACCCAAAGGCTCCTCCCGGTATGAGTTAGGGCAACATCGGTTTTGTCCATCCACTTGGATATGAACATTCATAGGGCTGTCTGAATAAGCAGACTCCCACTTTTTTAAGGGTAACCTACATGGCTCTTCACTCAGCGGATGACTTCTACTTAAACTACTGCCCTCTGGGACAGTCCTCCTGGGTGCTGACCCTCCATGGATCGTTTCTGTAACACTTTCAGACAAAGGATCTCTGAAAGCCTTTCTTGAATCCACTTTACCAGACTGCTTAAGCTCAGGGCCAGAGGTCTCAGCACCTAATGATTTATCAGCACGTCCAGTCTCAGGCTCTGCATGTGCAGCCGTGCAAGTATTCGCTAAGACATTTGAAGGCGATGGCTCTGCGATTTCTGTCTCTGGCTGCAAGCTGCTACATCCAGCTTCTTGTAGGCCCCTGGCTTGGCCACGGGCACCTGCCTCTAAACTAGGTCCTTCGGGGGAAGGTGGAGGACTCTGAATAGTCCCATCAGCACGGTTGATGATTCCATCGCCCAGTGTAGTCTGTGAAGTGCGGGCAGGCGTCAAGAGTGGGATCTGTCCTCTCACCCGAGGTCTGTGGAAGAGTCTGTTCCAGAGCCTGCCCAAGCGCCGCCGAGATGAGCTCCGTCTTGATGAGTGTCGTCTCATCTGCCTCCTCATAGCTGTTCGAATGTTCTGCAGCACAGAAGCCTGTAACACAGACGTAACAATGATTTCACACATACTCAAAAGACTTCTCCTAAACCTTTTTCTTTCCACTAGTACCCTCCACCTTACCAGAATTCTCAGACTTGATCCCTACACTTCCTTGTTAAATGTGTATTTTCTAATGAACTATTTAAGAATATCAGACAGCTCTGCCTGCATCAAAAAGGTTCTTAAAGTGTTTCCTTTATGAGTTTAAGCTCTACTTGTCTGCCCAGGAAGATGCTCCACTCATACGATCAGATCACCAGTGAAGAACCAGACTGCAGACCACCGAGTCCTCTATCATCAGCAACAGCAGAGGATCCTCAAAAGCTGATGAAAACATCAGAGAAGAAAGGCCAAGGCAAACTACCTCTCTGCTTGAGTAACAAACTACAAGAGCTTTATCACACCAGGAAATGTATCTCAGCTGGATGCTTTTGACAGGGCACAGGAGATTGTTGAGAACTCAGCAATGAAATAGAAGAATGATTCAATGGCTTCCCAGTGTAATGTATGTGTAAATGAAAAATAATCCCAGAATTTCTCAAAAATACTGCTAGAGACCTTACTTCCTTATTGCTTCGGGCACATTTACAGTTTCAGCTTGAAAAGCTTTTTTTCTATTTACTTTCTGACCTTTGTCTCTGTTCATTCTATCCTGATGTACAGCAAACCAGCATGTGCTTATCTCACTGCTATTCCCTAGCAAGAACACATTTAATGTGTTCAAAACTACCCACAGCACAAAGATGCGTAACTGTGGTTCTTCAGCTTCAAGAAAACATACACATTTTTATATGACTTCCATATAATTAGCACAGCTACTGAAAGAATACAGTTCCAGATCGATTCTATCTAATTTATAGTAGCTTGGCTGCTGATAGATTTCATTGGCACTTGTCTCTCCATACTTGTGACGCATTGTACACAGGGAAGTCTTCAACTGGGGGGATAAGTCCTTGCGCGATCAGCTGCCCGTAGGACGGTGGAGCTTCCCGCCGCACAAACTCTGCCTCAAGTCGCGTCATCTGGGTCTCAAATGCTCTGGAAACAGAACCAGAAGGAAAACGTGCAAGAGAAGTAACAGTCAGTTTGTCTTGCCTCCCTCACATTAATGTATAAAAGCAGTGCAGAGGGCTTCACACTAGCAGCAAAGCCACAAACCTTCAACTAGGCTCCGTGAAAATCTTATCAGGATGCTAAAATAAACAAAAGGAATAAGAGTAGAGGGTATAAGCATCAGTGAATCAAATCAGCAAACTCTTTGGTGCAGTCCCAGGTTGGACTCTGGCAACTGAAGCTTTTTCAATCGGCCAGCTTATGCTAATAACAGTGGTAACTTGTTCAGCAAGAGCCCAAAGGTTATTTTTGGAAAAGACAACATTAAGAACTGGAAACAATCACACAACAGGGGCAGCTTGCAGCTGCAGAGAGCTTTGGCTGTCCTGCCAGAACCGAGGCACCAAGGTTCCCAACATAGCACAGCGGCTTGTTTCCAGCTCCTTAATCACGCAGATTTGATCAGGAGAGAATGTTAAGCACACTGTGCTGAAAACACAAGCGGTATCAGCAGCACGGCACAGAGCTGGTGCATGTGACAAAAGACGGTCTTCAGAAAGTCCCTTATGACTCTCTCCCAAAGGGCAGAACCAGGCTTGCACAAACACACAAAACAGAGACGTGGAAACACGCACACTATCCATACAGCAAAGCATATAGGACCGGGGCAAAGGGGCACAGCTCACACCAATGGGAACAGTGGAGGTAAAAAATTCCTACTCAGAACAAGCCCTACCACTGCAGAACATCACTTTTAGTGGAACTGAGAACTAGAGTGTTTGGGGAGGGAAGGGGGAGAGTATTCAGTTCAGAATCAGCAAAGACTTCACTGCAACAGTTCAGCATTCAGTTTTTGGCAATGCAAGGGGTTTGCTGCAGGAGAAGGTGGGAGAGAAAATTGCTCAAAACAGTTTTCAGTTAGATACAGGTTCTGCCAGCCTGCACAATAAATGTACATTTCTCACAGATCACAGAAGAGACGACATTCCTCTCACTGCTTCCGAGAATCTTAACTACTCTAAGCCTAATGCTGTGACTGCTATCTAATTGTCATCAATTCCTTGGATCAAATTCACAGTATTTTGCAAATTCTCTGGTTAACAATCAACTTTTTTCCCTTTAAACAAAAAGGAAAAAACCCCACAGCTACTAAAGCATCATAAAAGCAAGATGCCTACCTGTATTCCCTGGTCCTTAGAGAATATAATTTAAATGCACAGCCCAGTGCTATCACCAGCAGCAAGCCACACACGAGACTCCCAATCAGAGCAGCTGTGATGACTTTCCTGGGAACGATCACCAGGCAGTTATGTTCATCGCTTCCATCCTGGCAGTCTTCTTGGCCGTCACAGCGCCAAGTCTCAAAGATGCACAGATTTGTACCACAATGGAAGTTTCCTGGCTGGCAAGTAAAGCAGTTTTTTTCATCTGAGCCATCTGGGCAGTTCTTTTGGTTATTACAGCGGTCAAGTATTGAGTAACAAAGCCCACTGTTTCCTTCACACGGGTATTCATTTTTCTGGCAAGCAGGACAGTTCTCCTCGTCCTTGCCATTTGGACAGTGCCACCAGCCATCACAACGCTGCTTATCTGTGAAACACTCCTCATCGCTTCCACAAGGGTGTTCCCAAGGAAGGCAATAGCCTTTCACCTGATAGGTTGCGTTGAACCCGTGGCCAGTGCTCTTGGAGCGGGCATGATATGAGACAGTAAGCTGGCCCTTTGACGACTCTACGCTCACCGAATGCCTATTGTTGTGGTAGGAAAAGGTCTGCATTAATTTATCACCACTCTCTTTGATGCCATCATACACCTTTACGTAGTCATTGTAGCCTAACTGCAAATCAAGCTGCAACAGAACATGTCGATTATCTTGTGTGTCCACGTACCATGTGCAACGAAGGTCTGATCTGCTGTGATCAGAACGGAATAAGTCTGGGGAAGCAAAAGATCCATAAAAATTACCCAGCCTTTTGCCACAAGAAAGATCAGGACAATTATCTTCATCCGAACCATCGCTGCAGTCCTTAACTGAATTACATCTCAGCTCATTCATCAAGCACTTGGTGGAGTGGGCTGCACTGCACTGGAACATTCCTGAGGGACAGATGCTGGACGGAGGCTCTGTTGGAGGGATAGTGCAATTTCTCTCGTCCGAATTATCACCGCACTCATCCATGGAATTACACTTCCAAGTACTGGGAATACACTTTCCATTTGCACAACGGAATTCATCTGACTGGCATACAGCCTGACCTATCTTTCCTGTGAAAGAGGGCAAGGAAAAAAAAGTCAGTAACAAAACTTTCAGAACCACCTGATGTCACTTTTTAATGTCTACTGCCCTGCATGTCACAAGTCAGTCAGGCCAGTACACTTCAGGCACACTGTTAAAAAGCCAAATGGAAATAGTATCAGTGTTACCATGCTAAAATCTTACAGTCATCAAGACTGGCCCAAGACTCCTGTCAACAAAAAATACTACCGTCTTCAAGTTTTGCCAGAGAGTGTAAGTGAAGCCAACAAAACTGTAAGGTTTTACCTCTAATATAAGAAAGGCGAAATCCCTGAGCCTGTCCTGAGCTTGATGCATCTGAGTGAAAAAATATCCAAACATGGTTCCTTGCAGAGATGAAAGACGGAGGTATGGAAGATCCACACACTTTGTACTCCTCCCTCTTGGAAGATGGGCCAATCATCAACCAGTCTACTGAACACTTCTGAGAGTCTTCCAAATCAAAGTTTTTAAAACTGTTAGGAACAAAAGAAAACACAAGTTACAAGACGACATGTATCTGGAACAAAGCCAAACAGAGAAAAAACAGACTGTAACAGCTGAGTTTCTGCACTAAGCAGTGCTGACATAAAGAGATCAAATTTGAAGATAATGAAACACCTACAGTATCTTGATTACATACAAACAGAGCACTCAAATTCCCCCAATTTGGAAAAGCACCCATCTCATAGGCATAAAGAGCATGTCAAGTAGCTCCAAAAGCTGAAAGGATGATTCCTCTTTTACTCAGAGTCCTCAAACAAAACTGCTTCCTACAATACAGGTATGAGTACAAGAAAAATTCCAGAATACATTATACAGAAGGTAAGTTAACTTCAGCAGTCTTTTCCAACCTTAAAAGCTATGAAACTACAGGATGAGAGGAGACACTACTGTCTTGGGGAAAGGACAATAGGGAGCAGTACAAAGAATCCCAAAGAGATAAATACGAGAGACCAAAATCAACTCTTCAAGCCATGGACAGGTGTACAGAGAAGGCAAGAAGAGACTAGGACTGCAAAGGGTGGAAACGGAACCTGAAGTCTAACACTATTATTTTTTAATTCAAAGATTAAAATATTCCCTTTCTAGGAATGCAAACACAGACCAAACAAGCTTATAACCTTTTACAGTCAAACCTCCCACCCTTCCGCTGACCCAAGCCCGGCGACTACTCACTAGTAGCTTACCTCGTGCAAAGAGGTGCCCCAATTGTTTCTAGAACACTGAACACAACCAGGTAATACTCCCTAACCTGTAGCTCAGGAACTGAACAGGGTATTTGTTGTCTGATGAAACAGACTACATTTGAATTCAGTAATTTGCAATGACAATAGTACAGAGAAGCACACTCACTAGGAAAGGGCACACTGTTCAGAACACTTAGAAATTAATTTTGGTCCTCTTTCATACAACTCAGCTGCACAAAATTAACTTGGTTGAAGTTTGCACATACTCCATGCAAATACCTAGACAGAAGTTTCAGAAAGGCTGAAAAGCTGCTGCAAAATACAGACCTCCTTCCACAATAGACTTTCCACAAACATAAAAGTTGAGTTCTTTGAAAAAGATAAAAGGAAAGATAATTCTCTGATATCACTGTGTATTTACAAAAGGCTGTCAATGCCTGCCAGATCTTGCCGTTGGAAGGTGAAAGGGCAAGATAAACTAGCCAATTCATTTAAGGAGATGACCCAGCCTACACACACCTGTAGGTTCTGCTGTATTAGTTTAATAACTCTCAAAAAAAAAATTATCAGCAAGAGAATGAGAAGTAAAAGACCACTGAAAGTGTTAAGTTAAAATGGAAATGTCCAAGAGAGATGTCCAACAACATATGTGCAGGCAAGGACAATCCACCCCGAAATATGTCCTTCCTCTTTTCTAACTCTTTTTCTCTCACCATGTTCTATGTGTCTTCCCAGCTGGGAAGGAATATTCCCACAGCACCTAATTCTTTGCTGTAAGTGATCTTGTCAAGCTTCTGAAACCAGCATATTTTGCAAGAAGTTTTAGACAACTGTGCTGTCAGAATTAGAAGATTTAAGTATTCAGCCATGTGAACGTAAACTGAACGTCATCTGTCCCAGGTGTTCTAAAAAACCTTTTTAATGACCAAGAAAGTATATGAACAGGCACTACAGCATGAAAAGGAATTATACAAAGCATCAGTGAAACTATGGGCACCCACATCAAGTCTTGCAAGAGATGTGAGACAGCATTACTGAGCTACCACATTGGTTTTGCTCTCTGTAACACATTTCAGCACCAGACATCAACAAGGGTTTCTATCATCTGCTTGAAGGATTGTTTGTACAGTTTTCCTATCATAAAGTCTTTTTGGATAAGCATTAGAAATATCTATCTGCCCAACAACAAAATATTTTAAGAAAAGGGAACAGTCACTAAATCAAGAAATGGAAACTCAGAACTGGGAAGCTGGGGGGGGGGGAGGAATGACTAGAAAACTTCTGCTTGTGCAATACAAACAAGATCATTTACTAAATCTTTTGATCTCTTACTTCTGTAGTTATTTTAGATGTACCAGGATGAATCTTAAAGAGCTAAACAATTTTCTCTCCTATCCTACCCAGTTCCCAGCACTCCAGCCAAGTCCCACAGCCACTCGCTTTCCCCACTCACTCTGCTGAAAACAACTACTTTTGTCTACCAGATAAATAATTCACCCATGGCATTGTTAATGCAACACAGACTGCACACACCCAGGGGAGAATTTGCCTATATAATAAGCTGCCTGAACTTTATATTAAAATGCATTTATTTCTAAAAGAAAAAAAAGGTTTAACACTTTTAAGATTCCAGCAAAGGAAGAGTACAGAAAAGTCAGCTACATGCACATACCTTGTTTACAAACTTCTGCAGATGATAGCAGTACCTCTGGAGAGCCTGCATTTGCATATAATTCACAATATCTTCTATTTGTACCTTAAGAATGTAGTATTGTACATTGCTGGTAAAGGGCTTTTTTTGGCTTATTATAAAGGGTGTGGAAGAGGAAGAATCTTTAGTCCCACCCTCCAAAGCACCAGCGTACGGAGGATAACTGATTTTCCTGAGCGTCAGCTGTGGATCTGAAATGGGTTCAGAGCAGAATCCCACACTTTTCCACTAAGAAATCCAAGCTTTAGCCACAAAACCAACTGAGCACAAGGGTGGTGAGGCAGAACAGACTTGCAAGGAAGTATCATCTTTAACAGCCTCCCTAAACATTGAACACACCATGCCTCTCAGGGATGCACGAGCTACTGAAACAAATGCCTTGGTATTCAAAAAAGGGCAAGACAGAATATTCACAAGGATGAACTCTTTTAAAAAAACAGTAAGCATCTTAATCACAGGTGCCTAGGAGTTTCAAACACCATTGAATAAACACAATTTCTCTGAAAATATACAATAGATACCATAGCAGTTATAAATGTTCTTATTCTAAGGGCAAAAGCAAAGTCAAAGCAATTATTTTCTACCTCATGCAAACTAATCAACAGACATATTTCAAACAAATTCTGCTTTGACTAAATCATTGTCACTCCACTCCAGCATTCTTTTAAGTTAGATTGTCTCCACTGGAAGCAAATTTTGCCCCATTTAAGTTGATGGTGATTTTACTCAAGACCAAAAGCATGGTATATTTGAACGAGCCATCAACAAAACTCACCACAAAACCCACGCCTTTGTAATGAAATATGAAACAACATGAATATATATGTGTGCACATATAAATATTATAAAATTGGTTTTCACTTTAGAATGCATTAGCAACAAGGTTTTGTGTCAGAAGTTTCTGCCACACTAATCTGACATTAAATAGCCCACTGATTTATTTTACCTAAGAGTCCTGAATAGTGCATTCAACCTCTGCTATTTCATTTCTTTCATCATCTGTAATTAGATCTAGCACTGCTGTTGTTACAGTCTTCAGAAGAATAATTTAATCCTGCTACCCACAAAATAGAGCGCAGGGACATTTACTTATTTAGTTGAACTTTCTCAAACTGGAACGCAATATTTTCTGTCAAAAGGATTAGCCCAATGGTTGAATGACTGAGGGTATACAGTGGAAGTAAGGGACAAAGTCTTGTGCTCCTACTGCTTGTAGAACTGTACAAACATCTTACAGTTTTTGGAAAAGTACTGAATGAAGTCTGTAGTTACGGTTCTTGAGGGAGGTCTCAGTCTCTTTATATCCAAACCCCATGTCATTTTCTGTGATTAAAATAAGAATCAAGTCATACTGAAACAGAGAGTACTGATGTACAATGTCATCTGTACCTCACGCAGCACCAGCCAGCGCTGCGGCATTTTTAAACATCTTGGGCAGGGAAGCACAAGGTTTGGGAGGAAAAGTGAGAGAAGATAAAGAGGCCACTGGTCCATTCAGCCACTAATCCCCTCCAGCAAACCACTCTGATGCATCTGAAAGCATGGCATGTGGACCCAGAGGACCATCCTACCATGCAAGCTGCAGTGCAGAGTGGCACTAAACTCCAGCCTTTGCACCCCTCAAATACAGCCCTCCCCACTGCACTGCAGCTGCAACCTGGGATGCAAACGTCCCCCTTCACCCACAAGCTTGACTTTTAGGGCAACACTCCTCTGCTCTGGCATTTCAGTGCTCGACAACCAAAGGAAGGAGAACCCATCTTTCCTCTGGGATTTCTTTCCTCCATGACCAGAGTGCACAGCCAGAGTTCCAGGGGCAGGGAGAGGAAGAACACTCAAGCACAACACTGCAGGAGTCAAATGTTGGTATTTCGAGTACCTAGAAATGCAGTATTAAAAACATGCAACATTCATTATTAAAACACAGAACACCCTTTAAAATGCTTTGGCCCTTAAGCTGTTCCCACTGTTAACCTGTGGATCTCCAACACAATACAGGAATAGAGGAGGAGGCTGGTGTAAAAGATCAAAATTATCAGACCAAATTTTGCAGGTTTTCTTTCTTCTGAAAGATGCTATTCAAAAACACTATCTTCAGTTATCTTGCTTTTGGAACATCTCTTCCACAGCTAATTCCTTTAAAAAAAAACGTAACTGCATACAAAAGTAGAAGAGTTTAATAGTTTATTTAAACACTGGAAGCATTCAAACTCTGGGGATCAGAACAGCTCAATGTGAACTAACAAATACAGCACTAAATCTGTTTTTACAGAATTCTGCAGAAATGGGTAAAATCATCTGATTTTTCTTTCAGTGGTAAGATACTGAAAGAACTCCAACACTAAACAGGATTCCTGGAGCTTACAGAAAATTACAGGATCAGCAATATACAAGATCTTGCCTGTACAATTACCCAAGTGAAGCAACAGTAGCCTACCATGATATTTTCCTTTTAACTGTCAAGTATTTTTAAGTTGCTGGAAAAAACGTCATTAAACCAGCTTATCATAAATATTCATTTACACTGTGAAAATATGAAAAAAATGTGCTACCTGCAAAAACTAATGCTTAGCAGAGCTAAGCTTTTTGCCATCTGTACTGAAAGAAGCAGTAGCAGCTAGCAAAAAAAAAGTACTTCTATAAATAATGTAGGGAATTCCCTACAACCCTCTTAGTAATTTAAGCACAAGCAACCACAGATTAAAGAAAAAAAAAAAAGCATTCCTAATAACTGGAAAAGGACAAACATGGAACGCTCAGGAAAATGAACAAAAAAAGCGTAAACTGTTGGAGGTCCAGCAGACGTAAAATCTGAATGAAAGTAAACAGTAAATACATTTTTTAAAAAATGCCCAATTTGGCCCTCTAAACTCATTGAAAAATGGAAGAACAATTGTTATGGGTAGATCAGTAGAGCACAGTCCCAAAATAAAACAGACCAGCCAATTAAGCAAGAAAAGTTATTTCTATTTGCCAACCTCTCACAGCAAGTGCAGGCTGTGAACAACTGATGACTTAATTGGCTCATTAAAAACTTCTGCTTAACCACTGAAGCACAAGGACCTGGAAGTCAGGAAAGCTCTATTCTACTCCTAGCTCACTGTGTAACCTTAGGCAAGAGACACAAGGGCTGCGTTTTCAAAAGCTGAGCACATGCAACTGAATTAAATAAATGGCTATTGTGAGTTCTTTTTCCAATTAATATCAAGTTCTGAAACACTGTGAGTTTGGTAAATAGACTATGAAGCAGTCCCTTTAATTCTTCACACAATTACAGACCAGCAAGCCTTTACAAGAACGGGCCTCAGTTTTAGTCAGGAATTGAAACTCAGATGGTATCTGAAAATCTCTTTTTTCAAAGCCAATGACGTGAATCACTGAAGTGAAAGCCAGTGAAGGTGATCCCCGCCCCCTGTCTCAATTAATAAAAGACGGCTGGAGTGGATCACTAAGTAGATCACTTTTCAATACTCTCATCTTGAATTCTGAACATGGAGCACATTTTGCTTTCAGTCCTGTAAATTCCCATCATAAAACACAATTCATTTATACTCTGCCCATATCACGTTAATTACAATCATCAGGTAACAGCAACTGCTAACAAAACCAATTTTGATCTTTTTCTCAGATATGAGGAAACATACACATATAAAGCCTGTAAAGGATGGTACAAAGGCAGCTACTGCATAGGACATCTTTATCTGATCTTACAGGATTTTTATGTAGTCCTCTGTGAAAACAGACATAAAAATAGAGAAAATGGGAGGAAAAATCAAGTCACTTCCAAAACAATAACTAACACACTGATTACCTGAATCTAAAGTGACACAACATAGTCCTGGAAAACAGGAGCTACACACTTGTTCCCAGGTCTTAATGGCACCATTCCATCAGACACACAAACTTGGAAGAAAGTATTGAAAAGTACGTAATGAACAGAAAAGTGTAAGTACAAAGAACATGTATTTCCTGTTCTTGTGAAGTCTCCCCCAAGGATTTCTAAAAAGTAAACTATAAAGCAAAACAATAAGCATGGAAATGCGAGGATATGAAGAAAATCAATACACACACATGAAAGGTAGATATTAAGATAAAGCTTCTAAAGGACATGCCCACAGGAGCCAGCATCTTACATCCACATGTAGGTCTGGGCACTGTTCTGCTGAAAGCTGCTGAATAATAGGTTTATAAAAAATGACTACCAACTGCAAATGTTTTAGAAACCAAAACTACTTTCAGTTGCAATTTTATCCCTTAATGACTCCTGCTGTATCTCAAATATGATGCTTATATAACACTGCTGTCTTACTGTCAATGAGAACTGAAGATCAAAGGAAATGCATTCAGCGTAACATAACACAAATGAGGTGGGTTTTTTTTAAACCTTTCAAAATCCAGATGTTATCACAAGAACTGTGTTTGATTTTCCTAGGAAAATTAAAAAAGCTACTCTTTTATGCCCTTATCAGCTCACTGTTAGGACAAGAAGCATACCCAACTGTTAAGAGGAAAAAATGTTGGTATTTGAACCCTCTTCCCCAGTTACCTTATATCATGCTAGCTTAGGCAAGTCAGCTGCTTGTTTTACATCCTTGACATTACAAGGGCTACAACGTTCTAAAGAAATTCCCCGATGCTGTAGCATTTTGTGTTTCATACACTGGAGTGAGTCATTCCAAGAACATTTATAGTCAGAAATGTAACACCACGACACTACTCCCTAGGATGTAAACACGTAGCTCCCATTGTTTGTGTGTGCATAGGAGGGCAGGATGTGGCAGTGATAAAAACCAAACCCATTAAGAAGGAATCTTCCAAATCATTGCTATGCATGCATCTAAACTGTACACACACATTATTACCAGTTTCCTCATTTTACTTTCCTTCATTTCTTTAGCCTGTTACACTTGGACTTGCAGAAGAGAATCCTAATTCTAACTGGGAGCTCTGAGACGTTTTTCATAGCATAAACTGCAGTACTATTCTCCAGAGCCAGGTCCTGTGTCTCATTTGTATGCTTCCTCAGAGTTCCTGACAATGTCTGCTTTGAAACAAATTCCCCAAGTCCAATACAATTTAATGGGGTTTAAAAGCGTGTTTCTATTTATGGATCTCAAATGCTGGCAGGTATCTACTTCCTTACTTTTGATGAGTAGTTCCTATTTTGAACTATGGATGGTGGAGCCCTCCTATTATTCCATCTGTGGCAGATTTGTTTTTAATTGCTGAGCATCTGCAGTTGAAGAGGTTTGCAGTCCTTTTAAGCAGCTGAGCAAAGAATGAGCAGATGGTGTCAAATACAACAGTACTAAAAACCAAACAAAAAACCTTTCCTACGTTTGCTTTTTTTTTTTCTTTTTTCTAAATAAGAAATTATTGGTTTGAGAAGGATACTACGATTAGCCCAGAGAAATTAAGCGCATTTGCAGTATGCTGATATTATAGCTTAAATATTCTTAACAAATTATTTGTAACATATTCTAGTCTTTTCTGAATAGTATTTTTATAGAATGAGTGGAAAATATGCCACAAATGCTATTATTAAATGCTGTTGGAAATAAATATTAAGCAGAAAAGCATGTGTCTTTTGGTTAACAAGTAACAATAAGCATGATTATCTTCAACTGTCAGTTAAACATAGCACCATTTCAAGACATTACAGAAAAAGCCAATTTTGCTCTATGAATTTTACGTATCCCACTGAGGCTGTGCCAGGTTTTATAGCCTTCACCTATTCCTATTTATAAGCAATGAAGAGAAGGGGGACTATTTAATATGAGTAAATATATCACTGTTTCCCACCTCCTCATCTATCAGAGGTGGATGAAATCTCACACAGGTATTGTGAAGATAGATATATATGAAAAGACTGCAAGTGACTTGCATATATAATAATGGCTGTCAGAAGTAGCCTAAAGAAACAAGACACAGTGGAACATTTTTAAAATGAGAGAGGTGTCCAACCTGCAATCATGCTCCAGTGTAATCAACTTCAGCTTCCTTCGACCATTCAGTAGCTCTGACAAACAGCCTCATACAGGTATATCAGAAAAGAACTCGCATGTTGCTTCATTTCAGCAAAGCAAGCCTTTATCCCCACAAAATATCAAACCATACCTAATTGTTATCATGTCTCCACGATCTCCTTTAATGTACCAGCTGCAGTTTACAGCTGGAGGATAGTTCAATGGCCAAGAAGGACTATAGATGACTCCCCGTCTCTCTGTGTGCTGTTCCACTCCTCCACTGCAAGCACCTGTTAATAAGGGGGAAAAAAAAAATATTATCATTAATGCTTTGCCTAATCAACAATTCACATTAGCTACAAGAGCTTTCAACAATTTCTGGGGATTGCAGACAAATGAGAGTCAACAGTTTTATCCTCTTACTGCTTTCTTCCCTGACCCGGTTTTTAATTAAGACAGCCACTCTAAGTGTAGGTAAGCATAACCTGCATTTCAATGCAGGATTAATCAATAACCTTGTATGAATCTACCAAAGGCTACAATCAATATTACTGCATGCATCTGCCAAGAGGATGTAATACAGAAATCCTTCCTACCAGCTTCCCCAAGCCGGGGTACGTCACCCAGCAACTGAAGAAGATCCATATTCAGTGTAAAGTATCTAGAAGCTTATTTTGTTGTTACATGTTCCTGGACATGTTGTTTATTCTAATCATACAACAGACCTGAAGAGTTTGTAATAGTTAAAAAAAATCCCCAACAAAAAAAGAAAAAAGGAAACTGGACTCCGGTGTCAAATGTTTTCATTGAACATTACTAAGTACTCTAAATTACTTCTGAACTCCCATAGATAGCAAAAATTTTCCAGACAGGGAAAGGAGCAAACAGGCAAAGGAGCAAACAGGGCTAAATAAAGCTCAATATTTTCAAAGCACTTTCAGATCTTCCTATGGAAAACAGCACGCCAATTAAGGCTACATCAAATACTTCTAATTTGTAATTAAGCAATTCAAAAATGAAAGTGAAATGTTCCAAGGACAAGTGGGAAAGCTGTTCTGATGGGAAAATGTACTCTCAGCAGACTACAAGAGGGGAAATTCTGCGTAATGCAATAGCTATTCTGAACATTCTCCAAAAATATTTTTAAAACTATTTTTAAAACAAATTACTATCTAGAGCATGACTTGTGGATTGCAGCTGAATATTCCAATTTTTGACAGAAACTTACTTTCTCATAGCTTAAAAAGGTGTCAAGGAAAAAAAGGGTGGCCTATACCTCAAGCTTCCTCATACGCGTCCAAATATACTGTGTAATAAATCACAGATTTACAGTATTGCTTGAAATTCAGCCATATAAATGCATCATTTTCAATTCACAGCCGGCACCAGATTTAGCTGCACTGGAGGGATGGGGTGATGAAGTGCCGGCGAAGCTGCCTGGCTGCAATCAAGTCAGGTGGCAGGGCTGCCCACAGAGCTCTGGGCTGGGGCTGGGACCAGCCTGCAGTATCCCCCCACCAGAAAATCTGTGCCTGGCACCATTCTATTTATTCACAGTAAACACTTTCGAAGTGAGAGCCACAGTAATACAAAAAGCATGAGGTGAGTAACTTACCTGAGGCAAAACATATAAAAAAACATTATTTTTACTCTCCAAGCAGGGCATTCCACTGAAGCATATGCATATAATTCCTACTGGTTTAAAAGGCCACAAAAGCATACAGAATACATAAATACAGGAAAACATCTATTTTCCAAACAAATATTTTGCAGTAAAGCAGTTACGAAAGCCAAGAACATTTTTGTTATGATATTGCTAAAACCAGAGAGGCTCCACGCTAGATGCTGGCAAAATACTGAGATGCAGATGCAATTACAGAATTGTACGAGCAAATGTAAGATCCACAGGACTTTTCAACTCTAGTTCTCAGTTTTAGGTCTGTAAGTGTGCTCCTCCACACACTTGTCACTGCATCAACATATCACAGCAGCACAAGAGGACCTAGAGCTAGCAACCACATAAAAGGAGCTGGAAAAGACTGCATTTTGTAACTGCCAGATGACTAAAACTTCTCAATGGGAAGGAAACAGAATGCACAAAGCAGAAAGAGCCAAATACACCAGACAGCACTATCCAGAGGCTTCCAGCAACAGTTCTGCAAATATTTCCGTTCTCCTCGTACCAAATACTGTTCTGGATTAATATCCCTTATTCATAGTACATGCACTAGGACACAGAACAGAACAATAATTACACAAAGCTTGTTTTAGTTTCCGTTCTGAAGAAGTCCCTCCGACATCCTGGTGACTCCACATGAGCACTTCCACTCACGCATTCATCAGTGCAGTTAAGCAGAGCTTTTGTTCTCCCAAATAGTTGCTCAGTTTTAGCAAGTATTTACAAAGACCCTGAGCAATAGTTATTTGAAGTATCCCAGCTTTTTTTGAAGTAACATCACTACCATTTTTTCTTTCGCAATAATATATAGTTTCCTAACTTGTAAGCAGTGCATCTGATGTAACTTAACAGTTCAGGTTCTCAGTGAGAAATGCTTTTTCTTATTAACACTGCACATCTGCTATGAACATGGGACATGGAAAGAACAGACAAAAGAAAAAGGTTTTCCATTTTAACAGAAGAATTGTAGCTGTGAAAACCTAAGGACATAAGCAAGGTGAGGGCTGCCCACTATATGCCATTTTGGGCAGGTCACCTGGCAGTGGTCATTGTTGCTCAGTACTTTCCCATGGCTTTACCCCTCTGACACACAACAAGCATTTCAGACTTGCCCTACTCAAAATTAAAAGGACAACTGCTTTGCTCTTACAAAGGCTCCGATGTGAATAAACCACTAATCTGAATTCATATTGCCAAAACATAATTACACTATTTTAAGGCTCTGTCCACAGTCCCCCTAAACCTAATGGAGCAAACTGAGGACACACACCCATCCACCCCTCAAAACTACTGCTGTGTTTACCCAAACCTCACTTAATTGCCTTGCGCTTCTGATGCCTTTTAGTTCCCATCAATGCTCATTACTATGGTATTTGCAATAAATCAATAGATCTCCTTCCCAACCAGTTGTCTGCCTCTCTACTCCTTGTGCACTGACTGCTGTGTGGCAGACAAGGTGAAGTATCTGAGTGCTGCTTTCAGCAGCTGTTCTTTCACCTGCATACATTTTGAAAGAAAAACCTGTACCTAAACAAAGCCTTCAGTGCTGGCGACAAAACAGAAAAACCACACAAGGGCACAATTCCGTACTGTTGGCGTTTCAGCGTCAGTAAAGGGGCCCCACTTCCCTCCTCAGCTCCTGGCCATGAAGTTTGCAGAATCGCATACATGCATAACTATTGTGTTATTAAGTTGGGCTTCAGCATGACAGTGTGATTCCTTAAGGAAAATAAACAAAGCCTTTTCAAATTGCCAAAACATCTAAAGGAAAGGGAAGTCTCTAAATAGAAAGGTACAGTCTGAAGGCCTTATCATCAGCAACAACACATGAACGCAGAAGAAAAGTAAAAACCTGAAGCCCCAAACTGCTTACATCTTCCACATTTAGCATTACTGAAGAAACGTAAGAGAATACCAACCTGGCAAACCAGCCCACCAAAAATCCTACTGAGATGGTGCTTTTAAAAAAAGATAAATTCTCAAGACAGACAATAATGAATCTTTTATAGATTAAAAAAAAAGCAAAATTTTAAACAAATGCCAGAAGAGGTTTGAGTTCAGAGAGTTTCTGTCAAGCAGGTGTAAATCTTAATGAGGCTCTTTCTGTAATAATGAAATGGATTTCTTCTACTTTTCCATAAACAGCAGTAGATTCCCCCTGCCAGCTAAATATGCCACAAATACTTGCAGGAAAGTTTCCAAAACTTTACATGAATAGTATTACTCTTATTTTTGCAAAAGCGACTATAACAGAACAGACCAAGCTCCAGCAGAGGACAGAGCTGGGGGCACTAAGCTGTGGAGCGATAAATTTTCAGGCAATCCTAGCAGAAAATAAATCCTGCAGTTTCACGCTCTTCTGCGATGCCCTGGGGTCTGCCACCATCCCAAGGGACACACCCCAACCATCTGCTCCAGGATAAAGGACGGTTTGCACCTGCCAGAAGGAACCTTCTCTCAAAACCGAACGCTTGGCAACATACACTCCCTCAGTAGCTATGTCAGGGTCAAAAGGAAAATCTCCCCCGGGTCTCCAAATGCTCCCTCAAGGAGGGCTTGCACACATTGCTTAATGCAGATCCCTTACGCCTGTGGAGAAAAAAGGACTTAAGGCTCCCCTTCACTTTATCCAGTCTCCAGCAGGCTGCTTCTGCCCCCCGATATCAGAACCAGCAAAGGCACAGCCCAAGGGTTCAACTCGCTGATCTGACAAAATCTGAGCTCATTCTCCGCTGGATCAACAGGCTGAACTGGCTCACAGCAAGCCCGGGGAAACAGGGATTGGGGGAGGACTGCTCCCTGGCAGCAGCAGCAGCTTTTCTGGCTTAAAGTAATTTCACAAGTACAGCCAAGATGGTAGCTCAACCTGCTTTCTCCAGAACTCATTATTTCTGCTATTACTTGTTTTCTGAAAAGAAACCACACTATACTTTATCATAGAGATCAACTCTGTAATAAGCTGCTTTGTCAGGACATGTTTAGGACAGCAAGCATTCCTCCCAACTTTTATCAGGGCTCCTAAGGAACATCCCCTGCAAGGCGATTCCTGGCAGGGTCATCTGCCTTACGACTGCGCTATCCTACCCTGCTATCCTCCAACGCACAGGTAAGAGAAGCTACACATGGATCACACTATTGCAACAACCTTTTATGGTCATTCACCCCCCCACTACAGTTACGGTCTCAGGAGACAAAGTAGCTCAAAACCACCAAGACAAAAAACCATGAAGGCTACAGTACTCTCAGGTTTTCAGCATACTTGAAAGAATAAAAGCCAAATGTTACAACTCTGTCTTTGCTTCTAACAAAAGAACAGCATTAGAAAGCAGCAGAGCCAACTGGATGAAGCATTATATATTTCAGGCTGAGACAGCATCACCAGTCTAGGCCAGCCACTGTGTAATTACTCAAGTTACACTTTGTAAAATCATATACCATACAGCCAACGGATGGCAAACTCCACCAAAAGCCGAAGAACCATCCAGGCAGAACAGACTAGGACATAGATGACATTCTGAACTTTTTCCAATGAAAGAATGGAAACACTATGTTACAAACACCACATGTCCTATATGGTTCATCTACACTTCCCCTAAGTGAAGTTTAAGGAAGTTACTTAATCATAAAATGACTACCTTTTCCTGATTTAAACCTTCCCTCAAACCCCCGTGTTGACTTGAATGCTCAAGCTCACACTTTAATCAACCTACTGCTTTAGAACAATTTTCCTGTTTTCCCATTTCCTTTCCTCCTGCCTCACTTACTTGTTTTTTCTCTTTTAATTTAAGTTGCAAGCTCTTTGTGCATAAAGTATGCCTACCAACGTGACTGTGGATTGACAGGCGCAAGAGGGCCCTTATCACTACGAGGACCCTGAATGCAATGTTCCCGTAATGTCAGTAAGTCACGGTACTGCTATAAAGAAGGAAATTACAATAAGTGATGTGATTCTGGTTGAATTTCCACTTTGACATTCATAAGACATTTTTAACATTCTCGTTTTAGCTCCCCCAGGAATGGGCCACTGTCCCTGGCTTGATATTCCCAGGCACATTTCCTAAACACAGAGTTTTCCTCTGAACATACCAGCACGTACTATGACCTTAGCCTCAAGCTTAGGATTTTTTCCTAGCACAGTAACACTGATGGAGTCTATAACCCCAGGAAGACTTAGAAGTCCTAAACTTCCTAAAACGTCATTGTTACTCTCTCTCAAACAAAGGCCATACTGTTTAGTTAAAAGATCGCTTTGTGTGGGGAAGAAACAGTAACAACTCAAAAGAAGAGTAAATACAAATAAGAAAAGTATGTCTTACCTAACGAGGTAACAGCACTTTCTATTTTCCCAGTCAGGAAGAGATTCACTGTGTAAAGACAGAAAAATAATGTTGACACAGGTTCTAAGCAACACAGGGTGGCAGTCAGTAGTTAACCATTTCTAGGTGTTTGCTGGGTTGTTAATATAAAAACATTGCAGTCTTCCCACAAGAACTTTGCTTATCTACACGGGCAAGTCACGTAATAAACCATTGTCCTTCACTGTAGCTATAAGAAAAGTCAACACACAATGTTAGTTTAGTATCTGTCAAATACGCCACCAAGAGAAACAACTGCCAATCTATTCTAGGTTGTCTTCTGCGGGATTTTTTTTTTAATTGGGGAAGACAAAAATATAATTACACTGAAACATTCATCACCACAGCTAGTTACTTCACCTGCTTAAATGCTGGAAAATAACTAATGAGATTATTATCTTTAAATAAGCCTATATAAAGCAAAGTTTGTTCCTCTCAGGTAAAAATCACCTTGAAAATAAACTCCTAAAGCTAACATGATTACCTTGACTAATCAAAGGCAATGAAGTTTTCAAAAAGGTCCACTGGTAAAATCAAAACAGGATGAGGTGGCGCTTGCAACACACATCTGACTTACAAATTAGTTTCCAAATCCTCTTCACTTTCTCAGAAGCTTCCTCTCACCATATATACCGTTAGAGTGATCTGGTAAGAGTAGTTATTGCCAAAAAAAATTTCTCCTGTGTCACTGTTGCTCCAGAGGTCAGCGATAACACGTAGTTCCAATTAGCTTCCCCAGACATTCTTTAAGGCACTTCTCTAACAAGTACAGCATATTCCTCTACCTGCCCTCATTTTAGCAGTACTCTGTAATCTACAAAGACAGCCTATTAATAAAATTACAAATGTCTAAAAGAATTAGAAAGTTTTAAAAGGTTACCACAACTTAATTTACAACATCCCAGCCCAAGCACTCACTCTGCCTTCATTTTACATGTGTTAAGTCCTAAATCTTTTTGGCAAGCATTTAGTAAAAAACATAATTAAAAAATGTACAATAGGAGAAGAGAGGAAGAGAAACCGTCCCTGTTCCTAACAGTCACTTGGGAAGCTGCTGACAATTAACACTATTTATGTCTCAGAGTAGCATGTACAAGCGCGGGCCCCCATTGTCTTCGACACCGTCCAAACACATCACAGAACAATAACCCTTGCCCCAACCTCCTTCTGGTATAACTCAAACCAGCATAAGAGGAAAAAAAGTACCCACCACACTAAAGGGGTAGAAATAGAAAAGCGAAAAACGATCCCTTAGCTTGCCAGTTCAAGCCCAGACACGGTTTTCAGTCCGTGGTGGATCTGAACTATCGTAGAATTGCAGCAGCCCAGGTGCCTACAGCAGTCCTGCCCCGACTTATGTCTGGATGTCCACAATTTGGACTTTCTCCTTCCTGAAGCCAGAGCTCCAAGAGCTAAATGCAGAGAGGGATTTTGGCAGGCTCTCAGGCTGCTACGGACCTCGGGCTGAGGCCAGGCCCTGCAAACAAGAAAGAACAACCGCTCCTGGCGTCACCTGTCACAGAGGACTTCACGGTACTACCACAAGGGCAAGGGCAGCAACTTCACGCTCCTAAGTGGCTGCAGGATTTGGCTCTTAGTAACGCACAAGGGCAAGAGGGCAACTAAATGGCAGCTATGTATGCTGTGGCTTGAGAAGAAACAGGCCTGAGCTGCAGATTTGCGCTAATAAGCATTAACACGATGTTCAAAGGACCTTAACAGCGCTGATTTTATTACATAATTAATGTACAGTAACATTTGTTATATGATAATAACAACGTGCCATGCAATGACTTCCTTTGTTTCACGCTGCTAGCTTGCTCCAGTAGGTCAGTAAGCACACCTAGGAGCAGCACCACCATCCTGTACCAGGGAGCAGCGCGGCTCTGTGTGACAGAGCAGCAGGTCAGCTTGTGACAAACCTCCGATCACAGCAAGAACGGCGACACAACATTTTCTTGCACGGTACTAAAGCACCGCTATTCCTGTAACCATAGTAATGTAGTCATAAAGACTGAGAAGTAATTAACCAGTGATTAAGTCACAAATTTAATTTAATGAAAATTAAAATATTTTGTTTTGCTCCAAAGAAAGTACATGAATATACTCTGCAAAACTGTTATTGCCACAACTGAATGGAGTGTTTGAAGATGCATCATATGGAAACGTCTAGGTCTGCACTACCATTCTTCGATCTTTTTTCATGTTTCCTACCCGAATCTTCCCAGTGGCCACAACGGAACACGAGCTCCCAAGCAGAGGTTCCCTCGCATGGCTGATGAGGGGCCCCTATGCCCTCTAAATGGAAATAACTAGCATGAAGGCAAGGGGCGTGATAGAGTGGAATCAGCCAGCTCAGAGCCATGTTACTTTCTTCTGAGGACTGTTAAACAGACAGCCCTACTTGGCTACCGGAAGGACAGAGTTACAGACAGCTTTGCACACCCAGCCTGGCAGATACATAAGAAAGACAACGCCCAAAAATGCTCTGTTATCTCTGCAAATGCAAAACATCTATTGGCTGCTGTTGCAAGTTCTTTGCTCTCATTTTCAAAGTCTTTCACACGAAGGAATCAGCAGTCAGGAACAGTTCTTTAAAATAAAAGTTTGGTTTCACATCGGGTACTTTCCCCAGCGACTGAATAAGCTTACCGTTTCCAGTATCTGCTTTCCTCACTCTCGGTCTCACTCAAGACCGTCAAATCAAACCACAAGAGCGCTGTAAACCAGCATTTTCTGAAGCACTCAGCTCTCAAAAGTGTCAAGAGGCCCAAAAGAAAGAACAGCCATTCCCTGCTAGTTTTCTTGTCTCTTGTCAAAACAAAGTCTTGTCAAAATAAAAACAGGTGAGAGACTAGGGGTATATTACAAAGTCTTCTCGATGTTCTTTTTCTTAACTGTTGGGCAGAGTTATGGGAATGCCGGAAAAAACAGAAGCAATTCAGTTGGCTTGAACTCCATGTAGGAAACTTACTGTGCCATTCATTTGGATTGCTAAATAATTCCCAGGGTGAGGTTTTCAGGTTATTTGGATCAAAAGGGAAATTTACATCTTGGCACCCCCGAACCACATGACAGCTACCAGGCTTTTCCCACAGCCAGGAGGAGAGACATCAGCTTCGCTGCTTTAATTGCTTCCTACTTGGTAACTTTCTATGTCCTCCAGAATTTCCCAAGAGTGAAAAATAAAATAGCCTCACGGAAGAACAGCCGCAACAAACCCAGTTGCAGTCTTTGGAGCAGCAGTTTACAGATGAGGTCACATACAGCAATGGTCAGTGGCAGTGCATTGAGGCAGACCCCAAACACCGCCTACAGGAAAACAAAAAGTAAAAGAAAGGCAAGAAGCAAGAACCAAAAATAAGGACGAAAGGAAAGGACAGACTAGCAGGAAGTAAAATACAAAAACAGTTAAAGCGGCAGCATTATATTCTTATGGGTTCACTGAAGCAGAAACCTTACAAGCTTCCCACCGCTCATGTTTCTCAACTTCCACTACTGTCAGTTGTGCAAGGAATAGGAATAATACATTCCAGCTGAAAAGAAGAGCCAGACAGTGAAATTCTGGAAGTCACAGAAAGCAGAAATCTACTAAACTTTCAACCTGGCATTACCCACAGCTAAACAGAAGAAGTGTTCTCACTTAAACTCTGGGGTTTACATAACCTTTTATGATATTATTAGTCATCTAAGTATGCTATTTCTGTTAAATAATGAAAGTTTTAACAAAGGTCTGACTGGGCCACAACCCTACCCCCTCCACCCCAAGAAACTCCAAGATATGGCAGAAACTTGTATCTTTCTCTAACTTTAAGTAAACAACGCAGCCGACATCATCCTCATGCCCTGCACATCTCTGACATTCCTTTAAGCCTCTGCAAAAAAAAGTAGTACTAGCTAGGATGGATGTTCAAAGTGTTTTGCCGTTTAGATAGCTTTTTACATCACACTTCCGTTAATTAAAATAGATACATTTGAAGTAACAAGAGCAGCTTTTAAACTTCAACTTCCTACATTTTTCTAGGCAAGCACTGACGTTAAAACACTTTCACAAAAATAGAACGAGCAGTCTGGCCACAGATACCCCCTTCTGATCATTTATGTAACAAATACTAACTGTCATTTGGCATTATTAAAAATGAACTCTAATCCGCTTCACTGGCGAAGAGTTGTGGGTTTAGCACATGCTAGTTCGAGGAGCTCTAACAGTTTACCAAAAAACCGTCAGGCGAGTTCAGAGCAGCCCCAGCCCTGCTACGCTGCGCACAGTGCTTCTGACAACGCTGCTCCATCTGAATTTTTTGGCAGCACGGAACAGTCGGCTTTAATAACCCCCAATTTCAACATGCCCCTGCTAAATACGCGGAGGCCTTTTGCTCACCCGTTCTAGTCACAGGCATCAACGCTTCTCCCTAACAAAAAACGTCTTCCCTGACAGAAAGGACTGACAGACTGGAAACCAGTAATACGCTTCATCACGTTGCCATAACTTAACACCTGCTGCGAAGCAAAGCGGAGAGCAATTGCTTCGAGCAGAAGGGAGGGAGGAGAGCAGAATATGACAGAGAAA